AGTCGCTAAACTTTCATAATCTAATCCTCAATTTGTTAATCCACCCACCAGATGTTGAAGTATAACTTCTGACAGTTACTGTCTCTGAACTACCTTCATATTCTTTTTTTGCATTTCCAATTCTATTTAACAGATCTTTAGAATACAATTCTCTCTCTTAAAATTGTTAGTGTGATTTCTTCTTTCCCTGAATGATCTTGACTGGTAGAGATAGACATGAGTGTCATTCTTTTTAATGAATAATTTGCCTGACGGCCTCCCTAATATAGATTGTTGTTGTATGTCATTAAGTTGGTTTCTACTTTCAATGACCCTTATAGGGTTTGCCAGGCTGTAAATTTATATGGGAGCAGAAGACCTCATCTTTCTCCCAAGGAGCGGCTGGAAGATTTGAACCACTGACCATGCTGTTAACAGCTCAATGTGTAACACACTACCCCATCAGGACTACAATATAGAATCGTGTAAGATTTGTTTATTCCAGAACCTAAAATTGAATCATCATGTGTCTGCATGTGCCTCTTAATGTCCCTTCAGACAACTTCTGCTAGGCATTTTCAATTTAAACTCAGATTGTCAGCTCAAAGAAGTGTTTTTTGTTGTTAATTTTCTTTAGTTATTGTTTAAAATGTTGCTTTATCATACTAGAATGCCAATTAATATTGTTTGTTTTGTAAATAACCCCTATAATATTGTCTACCATAGTTTCCACCTCTCTTTTTGGCTTAGTGGTCTTGGGGAATTCCTTTATGTATTATATTTCTCTTTCATCACTATCCTTTTGCTATTCAGTATCTCTATTGAGTTTTTATTTTAATTGTGATAATCACACTGCGCCTAGTCACACAAACATTATCTTGTTCTCTTATTGTACCTTTTGACTATAGGTTGCATTCCTTTAACTGGTATAATACCTTCTCAAATTTCACTAGGCACACTCATTACAATTTTTTAAAGTTTAATCAAATATTTTGTTAGCTCTTTCATTATACGTTATTGTACCTATTTTCTCAGCCTTATCCTGCTATTTTCTTACATTTTTCATATAATTGACAATTTAATATTGTTTGCTAATATTTGTAAATGTGAGATTAGAGTATTTATAGAGTCTCCATTTAATGTTTATGGTGGCTGTTTGAATTTCTACAAACTCCACAGTTGTCAACTATATACAGTGGTGGTTATTTAGTTCCACTGTGGAAATCTGTTTCCTATGAAAATCTAAGAACCAATTTAGTATGTGGTCTTGCATTTTTCAGTTAACTTTTCTCTTACTATTTTCCAAGGCACACAAGGAAAAAAAAAAAAAAAAAAAAAAAAATATATATATATAACTGCTTGCTAAGAGGTTTCTCCTCAATGACTACTTGGCTTCAGTTTCTCTTCTAGGATCTTTTGGTTATACTCAGGAGGCACCATCTTCAGTCTGTAGCTTCTAGGGCTAAGCGGGGATGTTTGTCTAATCCTCTCCAAACAGTTAACACTTTCCGATTTTTCTCCTCCAACATAAGGGAAATTTACAGAGAAATTTAAAAACAGTTTACCTAATTTACTGAATAGTGTCAATGAGAAGTTAGCTGCTAGTGCCTTCATTTGGTTTACTATAATTTTTGCTGTTATATATTGTATATGGATGAAATTATGCAGGCTTGTGGTATTAGATTGTTATTGTTCTTAATTTCAATAAAAATAAATTGTCTTCTCTTTTAGTTTTGTTCTTTTCTTGGTTTGGGGGACTATAAACATCTAGCAATTTATTATCTTCATAGAAATCTGTCACTATATGTTTTATAATTAATTAATCTGCTATGGGATTTTTTAAGAGAGAAAAAATATAATGATATGTAAAGAAAAACTATTTATAACTATTGGTATTATACCAATAAAGTACATACTCCCCAAATCTCTAATGAGTTTTAGATTTTATTTCTAGTTGAATCACTATGAAACCTTCAAATTTGGTAATAGTTCCAGCAACACTTAATTTAGACATTAAAATGGAACTGACAGTAGGAAATTAGGTCCTAAAATACCAATAATCATAATAATAATGCTAATATTTCTTAGTTAATGCAAGACCATCACTTAGCCAGTAAGTCAAAGAAGACCAGTTGAAAATCTTAGCCATTAATCCAATCACATGTAAATTAAGACTGAATTAGAACTAGAAGAAAATTTTTGAAGCAATCACTACTATAATTAGGCTGTACTTTCATCTCAAGCCTTAAAAAATACGCTTAAAAGGAATCGCTCAAAATTTTCAATTTGAATCTCTTGGAACTCTGGGGATGTGGAGCATGAGCCTCTGGTTAGCTGCACTATGTTGGAGAAGTTACTATACTGAAGACAATCTTCTTTCCTGGTGCAGTGCTGTGGGTTAATGTGTTGGACTGAAAAGTCAGTTTGAACCACAAGGTCAATGGTTCAATCTCACCAGCTGCTCCTCGGAAACGCTATACAGGGTCACTATGGGTCAGAACTGACTCAATGGCACTTAACAACAACAACAACATATTTGTTGAAGCAAAGATTACTTGAGCTATTTAAAAGACCAGATAAAGCACTTAGAGTTGTATAACCTCTTTAAGTAGGCATCTGAAGAAGTAAGAGTTCCAGTACAAAGTAGAAGTGTACTGAGAAGAGTTGTAATATGCTTTCACTTAATTCAAGGGAATTCAATGGGACCCTCAGCAATTATATACTATTAAGACTCAAACCTCTTTGTCTTCCCCTCTTTTATTTCTATACCTATTACTTGCTCTGGGGGAGGTCAGTTGGCTCTAGGATAAACACTGAACAGTAGGCCATAAGGTTGGCGGTCCAAGCCCACCAGTTGCTCCAAAAGAGAAAGACGAGACTTTCTGCTCCCAGAAAAAGATACAGCCTCGGAAACCCTATATAGGGTCACTGTGACTCAGAACTAACTTTACAGTACTTAACAACAACAATTACTTTTCTCTACATTATTCTCCTAACTCTCATCTTTTAACATGTAATATTGTCTATATAGTTGTTGTTGTTGTTAAATGCTGTAGAGTCCGTTTGACCCATAGCGATTCTATATAGGGTTTCCAAGGAGCACCTGGTGAGTTTGAACCACTGACCTTTCAGTTCAAACTGACTTTGCAGTCCAGCGCATTAACCCTCAGCGTCACGCAGGCCTCCTTATTGTGTGTATTATAAACAAAAAAATCTCAGCCAATTTCCATGAAATGGATTCTGACTCCTGTTGATTCCATGTGTGTAAAGGAAAACTGTTCTCCATAGACCTTTCAATGGTTAATTTTCATAAGTAGATTATCAGATCTTTCTTTTGAGGTGCCTCAGAGTATATAGACACCACAAACCATCCAGTCATCAGGCAAGATCTTAACAGATTGTGCTACCAAGGAACTAATTTTTTCTTTATTTGTTGCTTAGAACATATGTAAGTCCCACAGCTGTTCACCAGTGGATCCCACATACAAGGATAGTACAGGGATCACGTTATTGTTAGCTTCTGTAGAGTCTCATTGACTCATAGTGATGCTATAGATAACAGAAGGAAATGCTTCCAGCTCTTGTACCATCCCCATGACTGGTTATGGATTGGACCTTTGTGATCCATAGATTTTTTATGAGCTATTTTTCAGAAGCAATTTGCCACACCTCTCTTCCTATTCTGTCTTATGCTGGGGATTTTATTGAAACCTAATCAGTATCATAGCAATATGAAACTCTCTATTGATGGACCATTGAGTGAGGTGTGGTGGCTCATGAGGTACATTGGCTGGGAAGGGTACAGAATCTCCTGCAGGGAAGGCAAGGATTCTACCACTGAACTATTATTGCCCCTCATTGGATAAGTACTAAAGAAATACTTCTGAATTTGAATATGAATATAATTGGACTCTCCAAAGAGCAATGAAATAAGACACAGATGTAAACATTAAACATCTAAATATGCCCAGAGTGTTCTAAGATGAGCATTATCAGCAAACATGAGTCAAGTTGAACCTTTTAGGCTCTTTCCTTTCCTTTCTTTCAGTTCACTCCTATATACTGATCTATATAATTCTGAAGAGGCCAGAGAGAGCCTAGTAAAAGGACAAGTAGGGGGAAAAGGCCAAACAGAGTTGGAGAAGAAGCTGCCCTTTTCCCAGTCTGTCCAAGGGACACCTGAATTGGAAAGAGAAAAGTTTTATTTGTAAATAAAATTCAGAGTTTAATTATTTGAAGTATTCTGGATTGAGCATATTAAAAACAAGGGTGATTTATAAACTAGAAATTACTGGAGGAGTTTTTGTTACTGAAAGTTGGCCTGAAAATTCAGAGTCGGCCAAAGATTTCATCAAGGGAAAGGAAAAGAATCAAATGTATCAAGGGCTTTGAAAAGACAATGTTCTGATTGTACACCACAAGCACTACTTTTTTCATTGACTGGATACATAAGCAATTAAAAAGACTCTTTTCTTCTCAATTACAGCACTTTCACACTTTTTAAAGCTCTGACTTTCTTCAGGCAGACATTTCGGGGACTGCTTCTTCCATACTATCTTGGGAGTTCAAATCTAGGATTTGTCTCACTTTTTAGAATGTAATAAAGTACATAGAATACATTATATGCCTCACTTTTTAGGATGTAATAAAGTACATATCAGAGTAGATACTTAATGGATGTTTTATGAGTAGATAAATGGGTAAATGGCATGATTTTCAAAGATCAAAACACTCTAGGAGTAGCAGGAGGTATAATATTTTTCTACAAAGTGTGTAGGAGTTAGGATGACATAATTAAAACTGGTGCATGCTCATTTTTGTGGAGACTCAGCAAAAGTCATTAATTGTTTCTTGGATAAATGAATGAATGATCAGATGAATGAATATGTGAAAAATTGTTTCATATATATAGGCAAGATACAAATGAGGAAATCCAATTTTTTTGATTTATCTTTTCACTTGTATTCAATGTCAATATGATTGATTTGAACTTTCTTTTTTCTTTTTTCTTTTTTTTTTAGGTTATCCTTGTCTTTGTACTAAGCATTGGGTCTCTTATAATTTATTTCATCAACTCTACTGAGTGAGTAAAATCCCAATTCACCTATGTCTGCTCTATCAATAGGCTGTCCAGATAATTTTAATTTTCTCTAGTATGTAAAATACTGCTTAACGTAATTTCATACCCACAAATTAATGAAGAAAGGATAAATGTTTCATTCTCCACAAGAAGTAAAAAACTCAATTCTGTAAAAAGTGCATGAGTTTTCCCTATATCCTGCTATCTTACTAGAAGATGAGATGATGCATATAGATCCATTTACAGTCTCTGTAATGAAGGACTTCAAGCCTTCACTGATGGCTACTCCCATGGGTCACTTCTGAATGCTTTCTATGCCTTTGAATGACATAGGTACTGAAACATAAGTGCTACAAGTAGTTTCAGTGTCTCCCATAGGTTTCAGACAACTTCAGCTATTCTCCAGAAAGAGAAAATGCTACTCTGAAGTCATTCTCTAATTATATCCCAAGATTAAGACAGTTTCTTGGCCACAACACAATTTAATCATATCTTCATGGTTGTTGTTGTTAGGTGCCATCGAGTCAGTACAGACTCATAGTGACCTTATGCACAGCAGAATGAAACACTAGCCCATCCTAGGCCAACCTCACAATTGTTGCCATTCTTGAGCTCAATGATGCTGCCATTTTGCCAATTCATCTCTCTGGGGTTTTTCTCTGACCCTCCACCCTACCAAACATGATCTTCTCCAGCGACTGGTCCCTCCTAACAATATGTCCAAAGTACGAGAGACGAAGTTTGGCCATCATGGCCTCCAAGGAACACTCTGGCTGCACTTCTTCCAACACAGATCTGTTGTGTTTTTTTGGTAGCTCATGGCACTTTAAATATTCTCCTCAACACCATAACTCAATAGCATCAATTCTTCAAAAGTCTGTCTTATTCACTGTCCAACTTTCACATGCATATGAGGTTATTGAAAATAACATGGCTTGGGTCTGGTGCACCTTAGTCTTCAAGCTGATATCTTTGCTCTTCAACACTTGGTCTTGTGCAGTAGATTTGCCTAATGCAATACATCCTTTGATTTCTTGACTGTTGCTTCCATGAGTGTTGATAGTTGATCCAAGAAGAATGAAGTCCTTGACAACTTCAATCTTTTCTCCGTTGATAAGAATGTTGTTTATTGGTCCAGTGGTGAGGATTTTTGTTTTCTTGACATTGAGATGTAATCCATACCAAAGGCTGTGCTCTTTGATCTTCATCAGTAAATGTTTTAAGTCCTCTTCACTTTCAGCAAGCAAGGTTGTATCATCTGCATATCGCAGGTTGTTAATGAGTCTCCCTCCAATCCTGATGACAAGTTTTTCTTCATAAAACCCAGCTTCTCAGATTATTTGCTCATCATACGGTTGAATAAGTATGGTGAAAGAATACAACCCTGTCGCATACCTTTCTTAATTTTAATCTTCATGGTTGTTGTTGTTAAGTGCTGTTGAATTGATCCCAATCCATAGCAACCCTGTGTAGGGTTTCCGAGGAGCAGCTGGTGAGCTTAAACCACCAACCTTGCAGTGCAAATGACTTTGCAATCTGGCACATTAACCCACAGCACCACACCAGGACTCCCTATGGAAATCATATTGAATTTACAGCTGTATTAATTTAGGATTGCAAGACAATAAAAATCAGACAACTTTAGGGTAACTATAGTCTTTGCTTTGTGAATTCCTGATCTCTTTTAAGAAATATGTTCTTTAAGTTGATTTCTGTTATTTCAAAACAGCCCAGGTCACCTGAAGAGTTACAAAATAGTAAAACATTGCTGTGAAGTCAATTCTGACCTTCACTGACCCTATCTATGTCAAAGTAGACCTGTGATTCATAGGGTTTTTAATGGCTGTGATCTTTTAGAAATAAATGAACAGGTCTTTTTTTCTGAAGAAACTCTGGGTGTACTCAATCCACCAATCTTTTAGCTAGTAGTCAAATGCTTAACTATGTACACTACCCAGGGTACAAGATCAGTATGTGTACATACTACATAATGCAATACATCCTTTGATATCTTGACTATTGCTTCCATTAGTGTTGATAGTTGATCCAAGAATAATGAAGTCCTTGACAACTGCAATCTTTTCTCTGTTGATAAGAATATTGTTGATTGGTCTAGTGGTGAGGATTTTTGTTTTCTTTACATTGAGATGCAATCCATACTGAAATCTGTGCTCTTTGATCTTCATCAATAAATGTTTTAAGTCTTCTTCACTTTCAGCAAGCAAGGTTGTATCATCTGCATATCACAGGTTGTTAATGAGTCTCCCTCCAATCCTGATGCCACAGAAACCAAAATGTCCTGACTAGATAAATGGTCTTGTAAACCCGGGGAGCCATCTAGTCTCTTTGCTCAGAATTCCTAATGAAAACATGGAAATAGGATCAATAAGTTCTATTAAAGGGAGAATTGATAACTTTACTGATATTTTCAACTCAGTAGACAGTGCAGTGGTCTTACTCATGTATTCCTCCACTCCGCAAAGAAAAAAAACTTTCCTTGAAATCTCAACTTATATGACTGGGTTGGCCATATATGGTAAATAATAGGAAATTGCCTTCCCTTTCCATTTATCCAGTTTTACTTTTATACAACTTGTCAAATGCTCATCTTTACAAATGGCCCTTGGTTCTTTTCCAGCCCTGTTGGAAGCTGTTCTTCATATGAAGACGAAACAATTCCTGTTGACTTGATTTTTAATACTTTCTTTAGCTTCTATTTTGGATTGAGAGTAAGTACATATTGAAAATAGAAGTGAAGAAACAAATAGTACAGGTGCAACAAAAGAAATTTGAGTGTATCTTAGTTATGCAACCTGCCTATGTTTCCAGTATGTTGTACTGTAGTGGCTTGTGTGTTGATGTGATGCTTGAATCTATACCATTGGTGTTTTAAACACTAGTAGGGTCACCTAGATATATAGGTTTCAACTGAGCTTCCATACTAAACCAGACTAGAAAAAAGGAAAGGCAAAACACTTCTGAATAGTCACTCACTGAAAATCTAATGACTATCAATGGAACACTGTCTGTTATAGTGCCAGAGGCACTCAGGTTGGAAGGCATTAAGATACAACTGGAGAAGAGCTAACGCCTCAATGTAGAGGTGACCTTAATGATATGGATGGAGAAAAGTTTTGGGGCCTTCATTTGCTGATGGGACACAATTCAAAATGAGAAGACAATTGGAACATA